CATTGATACGAAATCGTAGGACACAGGACCATTCCTGGGTTCTTGACCGCCCAGGTGCAAAAACAGTATCGCCGCTCTTATTAATTTAATATTATTCAATTAAGAATTTGATATGCAGTGTTTACTATAGTACATTAGTAATAATAATAAAATATTCACTTTTTATAGAACCATTAATTCTTTAAGGATCTTTGTTTCATTTTATGAAAATAAAAATTAGAAAATATTTCTTATTTTCATAAAATGGAATAAAGATCCTTAAAAAATTAATGGTTTTATTTAGAAGGAATATATTATTCCACATATAAGTATGAAACTAACGCATAATGTTTGTAATAATGATGTTATGGATGATAAATAGCGACTATTAATTACCTACAGGAATTTAATCCACTAAATATGGCTAAATGTCATATGCTATTTTAGGATGTCCAAAAAGATAGTTCCTTCTAGTATACGAGTACTGTTACAAAGATTACATATGCAATTAATTCGATTAAATTCTGTCGATCTAAAATGTTCATAAGCATCGGAAAACTTTTGATTATTATTCTTACTAGTGGGGAACCTTCTGCACACCCGCCAGGAACGGCCCTAGTCGAACACGTTCACCAACAGAAGAGAAATTGATTGATAAACGAACAACTTCTAAACACGTTCGTCGTCGATACCACGAAGAAGACAAAGAAACGCGCTTACGGATTATTGCCACGATGAGGATCGTAATTACGTCGATTAATTAGAGAACCATCGGGCAATCGATCGACCCCGGACAAACAAGCACCTGACATTTGCCCCGCTAATACGATACTGGTAATCTACGTGCTGCAAGAGCTTCGTCCTATTGTTCCAGACGAAGAAAGGGGGTTTGCGAATAAAATTTCACCGCGCTTAAGCTTTCGTACGACAATCGTAACTGAACAGTTTCAAAGTTGCACAAACGGTGTACTCTAACCTGCAAATTACGCTTCCGCTAAAAGAAAAATTGACGATAGGGAAGGGCCTCTTACCACTTGGTATCGGGAATTACTGAAATTTATGTGAAATTAACATTCGATTTAACATTTATTTCAGTACTTGAAATAAATATATTAAATGGTAGGAGACTTTTCTTCTACGCCACCTTTTCCCCTAGCGGAAGCAGAATTTATTCGTGAGGGTACATACACGTGTGTTCCTAGCAGGCTACGTTCTTGTTTTTTTTTTTCTTTCTTCTATGGAATCGTCGAAGATACGCGTAGACTTCGTTATTACCCGACTGGATGCCTAATTAATTATTGATGAGCGTGCCATCAGGGACACATCATCGGCTTTCCTGTTTGTTCATGGTTTTCGTATTCGTTGATTCATCGATTATCGCGGTGTGCTCCGGGGTGTTCCGTGTGTATACTCGCTTTTGCTCGCGGAACCGAATTAACCTATTACCCACCGGCTACAAACACTCCCTGGGCACTATTTCACGATGATCTCGATAATTCAAGGATAGAGGGAAACTCTAGAGAATACGTACGGTGAGAAAATCTCCTAACTCACGATAAAACCCCGGTTACCAGTCACTGAAACCGCAACGAATTCCATCCATAACCGTGAACAAAACGTATACCTTGTGTTCGTAGAAAAACGTGGAACCGTTTCTGTCATTTCTCGTCAATGAACGTGCTGACCCATTTTGAATAAGCACCACCGGAATCGCCGAAAACGATTTCGATAACGAAAACGGTTCCTTCGAACCGACTATACGACGAGAATCGAATCGCCGTCGCGCATTGCTTCGAGATTCATGGCAACCGGATTCTGGTCTCGCGAGCCTTTTACTACGAGATTTACTCTATCGCGGGAACACGTGCGCGCCCGTGTTTTCTAAATGTATAACGGGCCTGACGCATGTTCCAGAGCTTTACAGTTATATGTACACTCACCGACGTCGATTTCCGCGGCACTTTAATCGTCTGCGCGATAGATACAGTACCGGACAAACGTTCTTGGACAAAAATCGTTTCCTGTGGTATTTGAATTAACACTAGAATTACCAAGCAAGTCAAAATGACTTGTCAATACACTCTTACAACGACGATTAACATGTTATGACAATACATTTTCTCAGATCTTTTGCACCTTTTATTACAATATGAAAACGAAGAAATTAGTCAATTTCTAAATCACTAAATTTTCAAAAGTTTTTCACGTTTATTCACCGATCGAAGCAAATATGCATTTATCGTCGATAGTTAAGGTGTTAAGGACAGTGTTTTGCGAATATAATGCGAGGAGTATTCACCGGGGCACAGACCAGTGAAAATATTTCCACGTTGGGAGGAGCGGAAACGAGCAATCCTCGTACGACTATCGAGTAGTTGGGTGGGAGTGTACGTATACGTGTACACACCTCGTCAATTCAAAGAACCACTCGACCACGTCGACGCCTTCGAGGAGGATGGATTAATCATCGATTACGGTCGATCGGTTCGAATGTAAGTACTTGGAACACGGCTCGACCCAATGAATCATACGGAGACGACGTCCCCAGACGGGCCCTTCTGTCTGCGGATTTCCTTCCTATCTGACTGACCGTTGATACGACCAAGCGTTCGTCGACCTTAACCAAATACGAGTTAGTAGAGTAACCAACTGTTCGAGTCGATACTCCAATTTCATAGGAGAAGAAGTACATTCCAAGGTGCTTGTGGGTAACCGAGGAGAGAGGTAGCGATGGGCGGCAAAAGAGGCCCAAGGATACCAATGGCGTCGAATTGAAAAACGGATAGTGAGCACAGAAACCATGGAGCAATTGCGACACCACGCTCGCTCCCACATCGACACGAACAGGAAAACGGAAAAACATTACGCACGCAACCTGCGCGACGTTGTTTGTTTCTCGAGGAACGGCGGAATCGTCTCGCGGGAAATCTGTAACAGTCGACGAGTTTTTCTCGGGGCTATAGGCACATTCTCAAGGACTCTCGACGAGTACCTTCACGGCCCGTCGAGCGTTCCAAGAAGGACGAGAGAAATAACGAACGCGCGGCCCGCGAGATCGCACGCCTCCGTGAATAATTAAGCCGTTGTTGTGGTAATTTTTTTGTTTTCGACGTTAGAACTGTACCACTCCGTTTCTGTGATGCCCAGAAATCGGAACGCAGAATGGTTTTGATTACTAAGCCGAACGCGTAGAGGTCGAAGGAAAAGCGACGAGTATACAGTAGATCCTTTATGAGTGTTTGAAGGCTCCTCGGCAAGGAGAGGTCTCCAGGTGTAACGCTGATTTTTTAATGAGGTTTGGCATAGTGATAGAGCTTGAAATTCTGATGTTTATGAAATATTTTATGTTCAGTGCTGAGGAGCCCTCGAACACTCATTGAGGATTTACTGTATGCTTTTTCGCTTAAATAATAAATAAAAGAAAATAACGCCAAGGCGACACGCGGTGTTCCCATGTGGTAACCCATTCAAATATTATCTGCGCCCAATGCATTTTAACTTCGGTGATCGGGAGAAAACCAATCAATTTTCAGTGTTCATTTACTCATTTAATACCGTACAAAAATATATAAATACGTTCAAAAAAAGAGGTTCAATTGTTTATTTTCAAAGCATTATACTGATCAGAGTTGATTAGATAGTTTAATAAAAAAAGACGAATTCTAATAATATAACTAATACTTTGCAACATTTTTTAAAATGATATTTTGCCTTTTTAAAGAGCCCCTTGCAACATATTAAAGCTTGAAGAAAATCGGAGATACCGACCAAATCGTAAACTATTACCTAATATTTTTCTTGAGAGACTAATACATATCTGGTCCTAAACTTAAATTTAACCGTTACGATATTCTCAGTATTTAATTATGATCAATATGTAGTAAAAGTTAGTCCAAAAAACCTACGTTTGTTATTTCTACGTGGTTTAGACATTGGGAAAAACATCAGCTCCTGTACCGAAGAAAACAACACAAAGAACACAGGCTCTTTTTGTGCCGAGTCGAACGAAAAAGAAGTTTTCGTTGACTCATCGTGCGAGATAGATCCGTTGAATTTCCCGCCTTTCTACGAAAATCCTACCGGTATTGAACTACCCGAAATTAAATAAGCCCTACATGCATTACACACACGAATGATCTTATTACTATGACCCCTTAAATCAATTTCCCATAAATCTCCAATAGGATTGCACGTATTAAGTATTTACAAGTACGGCGGTTTCCTCGTGAATCTCCATCGATCCATCGGACGATCATCCTCCCTCTACTACCGGTTCGAAAGCGCGCGGGCAGAGATAAATGTGTTCGTCGGGGCTCTTCCGCTCACTGTGTTCCTCTACGTTTCTTTGTTCAACGACGATCATTCATTTTAATATATCGAACGAGCAGATAACCAGAGTTGGCTTTACTACTTTTCGGTCGTAAACGAACAAAAAGAGGGTCCGACGATAACGGGGGTTCGCGTTAACGCGACATTAACTGGCATTGTTTGGCCATCGAAGAGTCTGTTGCGCACGATTAACGACATGCATGCCGTCCCCGCTCGCTACATCCCCTATGCCCTATCACACTCATTTAAATAATAAACGAACTCACGGCCACGTTTGACAAACAACGAACGAAACAATCGCCGGACGAGTTTCGATTTCTATTGTCCTGGGGACGGTTACAGCCAATAAAAACCACACCACTGTCACGATATGCACCGTATAAGTTTAGTCACGTACACTTGCACCGTGTACGACAAACGGCGTATGATGCCGTACGAGTATATACTTTCAACGCACGACTAATCATCGTTTAAGGTTTCTATTATCAATGAGAATTCGTCATCCCGTGCACGAGGCGGAACAGTAATAGGTTTCTCGCGGTAGAACGTGGGCCACCACAAAACAACCGAGAACGTGATCGACGGTCCAAACAAACAAAGATCGATTCGCGAGAAAGTCACGGCGTAGCCACGCGATCCTTTTGTCCGAACTGTCCATCCGCGCGAAAGGTAGAAAATTGCAGTCACAATACCTTGACCCTCGGTGTAGACGTCAGGCAGGATCGCGATCAGCACCAGAACCAGCACCAATTTGCACTGCACCGTCACACCACCGACGGTGCATCGCAAACTCGAGCACCGTTTATCACTCGGCATCGTTCTTGGACGGCGATACGCAGTACATCAGCCTCACGCGACCATAATGACAACCGTTCTTTCTCGCGTACTTGCGTTCCGTCCACTCTAACCGCTTCCGTGACGCGCACCACCCCGTACGAAACACCCTGCACGACTGCTCCGCCGGTCCAGACTGTCGCGACACCTCTGACAGCACCATGGCCCCCACCACTCATGCGTATCGAGCCATCGAAGCACACGAGCGCCCCCGAACATAGCCGACGGCGTAGCGCGCCAACACCGGCCACGTTTGAATCGTGAATTAGCGACGTCCCTCGTGTGTTTCTCAATTTATACCGGTTTTTCGTCTTAACATTATCGATTTTCTTTGCCTTGACCTACGTGAACACGAATCTCTCGTAGATTGATGTCAAAAGTGTACGGAATTTGTGATCTGAACGATTTCTCTGAATTGAAAGATATATATTGTAATGGAAACAATGAAATTTTAAGATATTTAGGTTGCGCCATTTTTGTCATGAATACGAAGTTGTTTGTATATGATTTTGTGTATTGTATGAGAACTTTGTAATGGAAAGGTTCCTTGAATGCCGTTTTGTGCACAATTACGCGCATTGTTCGGATACCTTCCTAAATATCGATCAAACTGCACGAGGAAACGAGACGTAGTCGGTGAAACAAGAAATTGATATCGAGAAGTACCGTGTCGGTAATTAAGTTTGAGCTTTCACGATGGAAAATCTGCGAAAAGAAATCGTGAAAAGGATCGTGACCGAGTGCAAGGCACGCGATGTGCACACGACCCGTGACTTTGCTTCCTTTCTGGTGAATACTTGTGTTAGGAATTTAATTTTCAGTTAACCTAAACAAATGTTAATACTTTATACGTACAATTGTAGATAACTTTGTTCCAATTGAATCCCGAATATGAAATCAAAGTAGCCGACGAGGAAAACAATGAGAAGGTAGTCGAGGCAATAGCGACAAGAATATGCGATGAAGATAGTTCGAGTTTAACGATACTAAAGAGTCAATTGTACTTCACGAAACATTATCACGATAGAGGTGACGATAAGTTTTCCATTTCGATAGAACACTTGTAACGGTTTTGCATTCCTCTAGATGAAACAGTGAAACGCCATAGGCTGCGTCTGCATCAGAAAACTGGTCCGATGGTGAAGGAAATTTGTGAAACCAAAACCATTGCCAATCGACAGGAATCCGAAAGATTGTATCAGAAGATGTTAGTGGTCATTACAGTCCTGAGTGGTCTCGGGAATCCTATTGTGCCGCCGGTGCTTCGGTATGAAACTCGATGTTAGAGTCGTAAACACTAAACGGATAAGGTTACACGTTACAAAGGTGTATCATATATTCTGTTCAGAGAAGTTTCGGTTGCGCTCCAGAGCGTTTTCCAGCCTTCTGAGCTCGATGCGTACGTGAAAATGTCTAAACGCGAAAAGGAGGAGCAACTAATGGAGCTGACGTGCATAGTCGCGGGAATACGGTTGTTCAACCGAGATTGCCAACGTGGCGGCGAAGGGATCGACGATCGTGAGCTGGTCGTTAGAACGCACGATTCATTATGAAACGATTGTTAATAGCATTAATACCTTTTCAGTGCCAGCTATTTTGCAAGAAGCTACGAAGAAAACCCACGACTCCGTTTTGGACTTGTTGGAACGTCTTATGTCCAAGATTTACAGATTCACGGCAGCCGTGGAGAAGGCAAATTTTTACTGGGAGGTGTTACCGTTTAGTCAATTTACCCCGGAGAATGTAGAGTGGATTATTCAGATGTTGGCGGCGTGTCGACAGCAAGAAATTTACGTCAGGTTTGTTCAAAGTTCGGTAGCAGTAGGTTAACACTAGAACTACCGTCACCTTTCGTCTCAGAAAAGTGTTGAACGACGTGGAACGCAGCGAAACGGAGCTGCAGAGTCTCATGGAACGCCTTCAGGGGCGTCTTTTCAAGCTCCACGATACCGTAAGATACAGAACCGCCATCCCTACAGTCCAAGTATACGTAAGCATATTTTTTTATACTTCTGCCACACAAGAATTTCCACTTCATAACCGTGAAATCGCGTTTTCGGACTTCTCTAGCCGCAATTCATCGATCTGGCCGATATATGGATGGGTCTCCAGGATGAAGTGATCATACTGAGTAGCATCAACAACTTCTTTTGGGAACTGGATAACCTGAATACGGCGGTAATTTACTAAATGTAATAACGTGCGGATCTATTAGCAAGCTGAACATCGAATATACCATCGTAGACCGTGAACGTGTACAACGAGACCATACTCAATGACATGTTATCAAATAAACTTGTTCTGACGGACGCCGAGAGGTTGGAACAATCGATGGGCGAATTGATAAGTAATAAAACCGTAACACGAACACGTAGTTGCAGCCATGTGTCAGTGTCACGTGTTCTGCACTAATTAGATTGTGACCTCCCTCCACAGCCAAGTGCGGCGACTGCACTCTTTATTATCCCGACACCACCAAGGACTTCGAGAACATAAATCTGGAGGTAAGATTACACGTGACACGGTGAAATCAATGTTTCCATGGAACACCGAGATTCCCGTGCTACCCGATTTCCCCTAGGTTAATTAATTCACTCCTTCTTAGTTTCTAGGATTCTGCGCGTGGACGTTCAGTCTCGCACATGGAGCGTTGATCCCGGGAAATCCGAACAACGGTGTCGCCAAATGGAAAGGAAAATTTTACGTGTTCAGATCGAAAGACGCGGCGAACAATTTCGGGGATGATCCGGACAGGTAGCTTCGACGAACGTTAAACGAAACAGGGCAGCAGTTAATCGTTCGGTTTTCATCGTTGACAGGTGCATTTACAAAGCTCTTGATATTATCCGGCATCGTCTGGAGTACGTGTACCTGTTCCAAGTGTACGACGATGTACGAGCACTGAAAGCAGAACAGATGTAAGTATATTTCGATGCAAATGTTATTTAGACTGATTTCGATACAATTATTGATAAGGGTATCGGAGGAAAGACCTCAACTGAAGATGTGCCACTCGCAAACGGTTCAAACGGATCTTCATATTCTGCCACCTTTCATTGATAAAGAGTATAGTCCGAATATGTGGGATTTGAGGAGAAGAGCATTGCATTTGGTAACTACTATTACACGACGATAAAATCAGAAGATAAAGACAAGTCCTTTTTTTTATAGGCAAGTGTAAGTCGTTGCGTAACTCGTAGCACGCAAACAGAGAAGTCGCACTTCCGATACGGCGTGTACGTGCAAGCTGCTCCACCGCGAGACAAAGAAGTGCAAACTAGAAGAGACAATTATATGAACACGAGAAAGCTTCTAACTTTCATCTACGGTTTACGGGGTAGACGTGACGGCAATCAACACGTTTTGTCTTTCTTAGAAGACGGTCTCGACCATTTATAAATTTCATTTTCTACGATCGACGTCTTGGGCCTTATCAGTTTCAAGGATTCAATCGGGTGGTTTTCAGGATGATTCTGAAAGGAATAAATATAGAGGTCAATATTAAAAAAAATGAAAGCAGTATCTTTTAATGACGTTCTCAAATACATCCACGGAATATCAGGGCACAAACCGCACATCTTTTCCTTTAAAAAAAAAAAAAACAAATTGGTATTATAACTTGTCATTCCGTGTCGTTTTTTACCCATACTGTAGTCTTCCTCCATTTTTTGTTATCATCAAATGTTTCAAATTATTTCTTCTTTGTGGCTTTCATCAATTTAGGCCAGCATTCATTAATTTATATTCAAAATACACGAACTTTTCCATACAACGAGGCTCATAGATATCCTCGATCGGGATTAATTCCGTACCTCGCACCATCATGAACCTATCTTATTTTCTACAATTCAACGGTTGCGCAATGCTGCACATACTGTGACTTCTTTTAATATGCATACATCGGTCGTATCTTCACTGAATACATCACTTTACCATTACATCTTAAGAGTTAGGTCAATTTTTTACACCAAGAAACCTATATTACGACAATAATTAGTAATTACACGATAATACAATTAAATTTCGCTTAGTAATAATTTCAGTGTATAATGTAGCTATTATACAGAAGAGGTACAGAATATTGATTTTTCGCATCGTATTTCTCTTTATTTCTTTTTTTTTTTTATACCGCACATTTTCTAACTTCGTTCTCCCTTGTTGGGTGACAAAATTATTTGCCCTTTTCCCTCCTGTTACATCCATTGTCGAAAAATGCAATCCACGTTAAAACAAAACAGAATGAAAATATCGTGTGATGCTTGGGCAGCACTTTTAGGATTCGCCTGAAATTTGGGTTTCGATACAAACAAAACGAGAATACATAATCATAGGAAACAATCGATTTCAATATATTTTCCATTCGTTCGTCCAAATTAAAGTCACGCAATAAAATTAAGTATAACCACCTTATAATTCCGAGCATATTTTTTGTTGTTTCTATTTCACTGCCACAGTGGGGCACACCGTATTTTCATACTTGGTGAGAAGAGGTGGTTCGTGAAAACCACCTGGCAAACGATAAACACATAAATTCTGAATACGTTGACTTAAAACCGGCTTAGTGACTATCGGCCATTTTAATTATTTCCATATTTTCAAATCATCCAATCGTCCATGGTATTACCCCTCCTCCTCTCCCGTTCATGTGGTTCCGGCGTTAATCGAATTCACACGAATTCGCACTCGTGGGTCATCATTTGCAAACGCATTACTTTAAGGCTACCTTCGGCAATGTTTCGCGGAGCCCGTGTTTTTCATAATGCCCATAACTTAAGATGCTACATTGCGAACGTTACACGAAAAGAAGTAACTACCATGGACGACAGAGTGTATCGGAATGGCGTAAAACATGGCTAAAGTCTTAAGTCGCAATATGTGTCTGTGTGTTTGTATGTATATGTATTTATGTATGTTTTGTGTGAGAAAGATGGAGAGATGCACTTTGCACCTTGGAATATGTTATACAATGTTTATAACCTGTCAGAGATCGTGGCTCAGGGGTGATTTAATCTACAAAGTGATTTTTGAGGTATTTCATCATACCAAAAGTTCTGAAACGTTTTACTCCAATTACTTTCATTAATTCATCGTCGCAGATTGCGAACTGCTTATTCTTAGGATCCTGTAAAACAGCATCGAGTATTAAGTATTTCACTCTTGAAACGCAACAAATGAAATGTTTTACAGAAAACCCTAATACTTACATAAAGATTCCTCTCCTTAATAATGCTCCAGACCTTCTTTACGACTTCGTGTCGGGCCATTTGCTCGGCTCCAACAACGGCGGCAAGTTCTGGAGACAGTGTAATCGCACGAGTGTAGCCACCCTTACCTTTACCACCACCCTTCTTTGCACCACCGCCTCCTTGAGCTTTCTTGTTTTTACCCCAATCTTCGTCACTGTCACTGTCGCTACCCTTCTTCTTTCCTTTCTTACCAGGCTTACCTATGAAACAAATAACATGTAAGTTAATTGAGCTTACTTGCTCCAGAACTGAAGTATATAAAGTCTTCCAATGTTACATATACATACTTTTTTTGGGTGTAACTTTAGGTTTCTTTGGACTATATTCTTCGTCGCTAGCGTCGTCGTCACTAGCGCTTTCTTCGTCGTCAGAAGATCCCTTTTTACGTTTGTTTACAGGTTTCTTTGCAGGACTTCGTTTAGCAGGCTTTTTTTCTTCTTCCTCCTCTTCTTCTTCTGATGCTTCCTCCTCCTCTTCCTCTCCATCTTCAGATTCTTCGCTAGCAGTCTTCTTCTTCTTCTTTGCTCCATCTTGCTTCTCTTGTAAACACTCCATGACCAAACTGTCTACTTCCTTCTTCCTAAACACATATTTTATTGTGTCGATTAAAATAGTGTTTACATCGAGCTAAGTTACATAAATTCAATCATGAGGAAATGTTGAAGGAGGAACGAGGTGGTAACCAAAAGGTACAGTTCCACACAGAGTTCCTTCTTTTTATCTAGGACACAGTTGAACTCACTCTTGAGTCAATTAAACTGCAGGAGTGCCTGCTGCATCCATATAGTGACAACATTTTGTTTGAAAAAAATTTCATTTTTTTTTCAACGCTCTGATAAATTCGAATATTTCCAAGTTGTGTTAAATAATTTCAGTAGATAATTACCTTTCTGTAAGGTCTATGTCGAGTTTTCCTTCAATTTGTAGCCTGACTTTTTTAGCAGACATTGTGGTGAGGTCAGCATCCTTAAGGATAGCTATAAAAATACAAAATTTTTATTTCTTCTTAATATCATCACAACTTTATAATAATTACATACACATTTCGTTGATACCAATGAAGATAAAATCTCGAATGTACAACTTATAAGTTTAATTGTGTCAATAATAATTGTTCAACTGGAATAACCGTTATATTTGTGAAGTGTTATTCAACAAAAACAAGGGAATCGCAATATAATTATAAAGGAGTAAATCTAGGGTAATGGGTTTCCCGCGTTAGGGGGCCTAGTGAATATTGAACGAAAATGGCTACCGTTCATCAATGCCGGTTACCGATTATCCGAACACAAAAAGGAAAAGGATTTCTGTAAGTAAGGTTTTCAGTAAAAATTTAGCATGTCGATCTCGATTCTAAAATAGTTTGCTTTGCATCAGTCGCTTGATGTTGATGTATCGACTCGTGGAAAGTCGAAAAATTGCTAAAAGTTCAAGGTGTAGGAACGATAATGATTCGACCTCGATCGGTCATGTTTTATGGAACTTGGAAGAAAATTTATTGTATAAAAAGGGAGTGAAATAAAATATTCTTCAGAAGTTGCACTTCTTGTACAGATAAGAAGCATACATGACGGCGGGAAAATACGTGAACCAGCATATATTCGCAGCAACGAAGTATGTTGTAATTGCGAGTGTAACGAACGAAAGAAATTCGAGGAATGGAGCTGTACTTGGATCGGTGAAATATAAAGATAAAGAATAATTCGTCGATATATTTCGGAAAATGAGGGCATGGTTCATCTCAGAATTGCTTTTGACGGCATAAAACTTGTCGAAAAGAAAAGAAAGAGGCGAGATACGAAGCATGCGATGGCTTCTAGCGCGCGCCACCACAGTACGACGCGTCATACAGCCTATATACTATAGGAGGACAGAGAAAGCGGTCATTTCTAGAAAACCGAGGGAAAACCAAGAATTTCCGAAGGCATCGAATAATTTTGTTTAAAAATTAGGGGCGGATTGCACGGAATACTTTCGCGATACAATTACTCGATAGAACGGTACGTAGGTGGAAATAGAGTATTGTATCACGGTTGTAATGGCCGGCGTGGGGCACGCCACTTCGTCGCATACGTGCGCGCTAAAGTCGTTACATCGCAAGAGCAAAGACCCGTTTTCCTACATATTCCTACTCGCGAATATACTACAATTTCACGGCACATCCAATTACGAGTTCAGTTTTATGATAATCGGAGGCTAGAGTTCGGTAAATCGAAGGATATTCCCACTTACCGGTGATCTCCTTGCGAAGTTCTTCGTTCGAGATATCAGCCATGGTCGTGCTTCTCACTGTGCGTACTGCTGCTAACTGAACCTACGCCGGCTGCGGACTCCTGTGTAGCGTCCGTTGGTACAGTCACTCTGAACAGTGACTTGATATACGTTAGGTTTACGGAACTTAAAAATCAGATAACTCGTGAACCGTACATTAAAAACGAATACTCTATACACCAAATCGTGTTAGTTTTTTTCTGTCTACAAGTTTCTCATGACGCCCCACTCGTAATTTTGCGATTGAACAATCCTATTTCGACATTCCGCCAACACGTTCGTGGAAGCCTCTTCATTTTGAGTGTACCACAAGCGACCGCTCGTGGCTGCCGGTGGCGTCTACGGTACAGTCGCTTCATATACGTAACTCTGTTTCTTCCAGAAAATATAGTTTCCATAATCCATAACTATGCTCTCCGACGTTTAAGAATGATATGATATACACCAATCGAACGATTTTATCGTAACGGACTGTACAAAGCGACCACTCCGGGATTCGTAGCGTCGAGCATACAGTCGCATCATATGACAATCAGTATACATTTTACAGTATGGTAAAAAAAAATTAGTTTATTAAATATCGACTGCAATTGCAATCTTATTACTGTACTGTACGTTTTCTGATCGATATTACTATTAAAATTGAACATTTTTCCTATTTTGTATGCTCCGTATCATCTATATTATTACCTTCATTATCTTTATCTATAACAATTCCTGCGTTTTGCTTACGAGACGTGAAGTTTCGTACGCTATGGAATACAACCATTCGTTACATTCATAGCAACATAAAGATAGTACCAATATACGTAGCAAATATGTATGTTCTTATCATATCTCAAAATTAATACATTCATGTATAATTGTATCCAATCAGTGTGATATTTTAATAGGCCGCGACTGTCGGAGCGACTACTCGGTTTCTTCCTCGCTTTAGTGTGGTACAGTCATGTTCAATATGTCCGAAAGGATACCAGCAAGAAATGTAGTTTGAAAATTCATAACTTCTTAACCATACGTCGTAGAAGGATACAGTATTCGCATAATCGTGTTAGTTTTTGACGACGAAAATATTTCTCAGGAAGCGCCTTTCACGATTTTATCATCTGAGACATTCAGCTAGAAATCTCGGTGCCTCTGACGTAAAGACTTCTAGTACTGACTGTATCCAATCTGGCAGGTTTGTTACAAGACGAATTTCTCTTTAAAATTTCATATAAGTTTGTTTTGGAAAGTTCATAAGAATATTTAAACAAATTTTTTGAGGCAATTTACGAGTTTACATTCTTTTATTTCAACCTGGGAAACATATTTACTGATGACACGTCGGAACATAATGCCGCCACGGGTGTTTGAACGCTTTAAAATGGTGGCTTCATTTTTCGTGAATTCATGCTTAGCCTTCGTTGTATCGTAGACGATTATCTTCGTTCTGGTACTGTAAACGACAACTTATCACACGGACACCGTACTATCGCAGTGTCCTTTGAATGTTACGTACAAATAAATGAAAATTCCGAAGATAAACTAAAAATATCGTTAACTTTCGCGGAACAGATATTGTTTTCCCTCTGAATTTCAGTCACTTCCGGTGCATTGACGTTCATATTTCTTTAATTACGAGGTCGTTTACCATGCAGCCACCACAGTTTGTCAAATATTCCAAAATGATTTATAAACATATTTTTTCACTGGTTGCCGAAAAAATGGTTGTTTATTTGTAACGTATACGAGGAGGTCACAGTTGTCCTGTTATCGTGGAAATATTGATATTTCCAGACTACAATTGGATTTGTCTCGCCATCTGGCGGTGCCACGTGTACTTATTTCTCATCGCGGGGTAAAAACTATACAATCAGAAATGATGGGAAATTATAACTCAATGATCAACCGCTGAAACTACTAGCCAATTATTTGGCTAGCAGTTTCAGCGATTCGCCACGGATGGCGCCACCGGTCGTAAAAATAGTGGTACTCCGAGATTAAATTGCGATTTTAACAGTGTTCTGGTCGTTTATTGTTATTATCAATAACAGTGGATTAATCTACGTACTTTCAGCTACAAATTGAGTGCTTCAGCTAAACAAAAGCCGTCCGTATAACGGTGTAAGAGCTGTGCAAAGTGAACTAACCGGGGTACGCGTGGCGAGATACAGTGTCAACCGTTGCAAATAAAGTGCGATTTTAACAGTGTTCTGGTCGTTTATTGTTATTATCAATAATAGTGGATTAATCTACATCCTTTCAGCTACAAATTGAGTGCTTGGCCAAGACGAATCAGCCGTTATAGGGTACTAATCTACATTCTTTAAACTTCGAATGTAATGCATGACGAAGACGAGTGTTGCCTGTTTAGTGGTTATGTAATTGTCACATATTTCGATCGGATTTACACTGCTAAACGAGCATCAGTTTTCCTCGTCATGGATTATATTCGAAGTTTAAAGAATGTAGATTACTATTCTCTAACAGCTGGAAACCAGTAATCGCAAGAACATTGTTAAAATCGCATTTGTTTACAACCGTTGACAGTGTATCTCGCCATGCGTACCCCGTTTAGTTCACTTTAAATAGCTCTTCCAACGTTCTATGGACAAGTTACGTGTTGATTAAGCATTCAGTTTGAAGCCGAAAGAACGTAGATTAATCTCCTGTCATTGAAAATAACAATAAACGACCAGAACACTGTTAAAATCGCATTTAATCGCGGAGTACCACTATATTTTTTGAACGGTGGCGCCATCCGTGGCGAATCCCTGAAACTACTAGCCAATTATTTGGCTAGTAGTTTCAACGGTTCGCCACGGATGGCGCCACCGGTAAAAAAAGTAGTGGTATTCCGCAATTAAATGCGATTTTAACAGTGTTCTGGTCGTTTATTGTTATTTTCAGTAACAGTGGCTTAATCTACGTACTTGCAGCTACAAATTGAGTGCTTCAGCTAAACAAAAGCTGTCCGTATAACGGCGTAAGAGCTGTGCAAAGTGAACTATCCGGGGTACGCATGACGAGATACAGTGTCAACCGTTGCAAATAAATGTGATTTTAACAATGTTCTTGTAATTGCTGGTACCCAGCCGGTGGAGAGTATTAATCTCCGTTCTTTAAACGTTGTATCTAATGCAAGACGAAGAAGAATGATGCCCGTTTCGCTGTGTAAATGCGATAGAAATCAGGGCAAACGGGGTTGCCGCTCCATAAGGGTCAACGTTAATACAAACATAAATAATTTTAGTAATTCTGGGGTTCTGCAGTATTGAGTCGATGCGTGAAGCCCTCAGGAACAATTTGAGACTAATGACGTTCATTTTGAACGTTGAATTACTGAGATATTCGCTTTTTTCTAGTATAAGGAATTTTCACTCACCTGTCGGTATGATTTGGCTAGCAGTTTTGGCGAATTGCCACGGGTGGCGCCACCGGTAAAAAAAAAGTGGTACTGCGTAATTAAAATGCGATTTTAAGAGTGTTCTGGTCGTTTATTGTTATTATCAATAACAGTGGATTAATCTACGTACTTTCAGCTAC